GGCGGGAGCGGGGCGCCGTTGGCGACCGTTGGCGGCCGTTGGGCGCGGGGGCGGCGGCCGCGTCGGGGCCTTTAGGAAGGGGGTTCGCCGCCGGAGCACGCGGTGCGGGCGCCCTGCCCGCTGCGGGGAGAGGGCCCCGGCCTCGCTGCCGGCGCCGCGGCTCCCCCGGCTGTCACTGCGTGTCACACCGGGGGCTATGGGTTGTGATGTATCTCTGTGCTTCTTGCAACTGTAATCGGTACAGGCCACAGCAATAGCTTGTGATCGCACAAATATCCACGAGGATCTTCCCTACAGCTTGGACTGTCAGTGAACTTTGCTTCTTTTTTTTTAATATATATTTTCCTAAAGGCAGCCCTGTTTATTCTATGGCTCACTGTTGGGTGAATCATGTTGCGTATGTGCGAATTAGGAGGAGAGTAGGTGTTGTTACTTGTCATTATAAAGTTACAAATGCGTAATCAATCTGTGGAGTTGCAAATATGGACAAATATGGACAAGGAGTTTAATATCCAGGCAGGATTATTCTCTTAAAATGAATATAGTCAAGAAACAGTTTGTACACTTCATTTTTTTTCTTACTCTTACCCTAGTTCTTCACTCTGTGTGCCCTTCTTTACTCCATAAGTGTATTTAATGGAAAGTACCTAAAGAAACTTCTTCCACAAACTTGTGTCTTTTTTTTTTTTCTGTTTCTCTTCTCTCCTTTCCACTTTTTCTGGTTAGAATATGACTGCTTGTTGTTAGTTGAGCAAATCTTAAGTATTCCTTTTTCTTTAGGTGTTTTAATTGTCTAGGTATGCATTACAGTAAGATACCGAGGAAAAATGCTGGTGATCCAAAGCTATTGCTCCTTTCCAGGTTAGGGTGTGAGCCGTTTTACTACTTTCTGTTCTGTCTTTCCTGATAATGACRATTCTGCTAGCGAAGCTCTCTCGTCTGACTGACTTCCTCCCTCCTTGTGCTGCACCATATGCTGCTTTGTAGCGCAGACTGTTCCCAGCATGTCTCAGTGGCAGCACTGCATGGCAGCTCCCTTGGCAGCAGCGCTGGGTAAGGAGGTGATTCCAGTGCGATTTGAGGAAGAGGAAAGGATTGGGGTRTGTGTGTGTGTGCTGTAGAGCTCTTTGCACAAAGTAGAGATGACACTGGTATTGGGCAGAAGCCTTCAGGCACGGGGCGCTGCTCTTTGGGACGCTTTTGTGACAGTAGCTGCTTCGTGGGCAAAGGGGTAGCAAACCCTGAAAGCAAAGCCAAAAAATAGTTGGGATAATTGAAGTCTTAAGGACATAATCGTTAGTGCAGATCCAGTTTCTACGGAACAGCGAAGAGTAGTGATACAGTTATATTGCTCTATACAGACTTTTTGTTTTTCACTTGTTTTTCCTGATGTTCTGTTTACACTTCTGCTCCTTGGGTCTGAAGGTTGGTGGCTTCATTCAACTGGTGATGTTTTTTTGCACCTGGAGTCCTTCACTGACAAGAATGTGATTGTTCATGTTGATGGCTTCTTCTCCCTCTGGGATCCACTTGGGATTGCTTTCACATGCTTGCTTTACATGCCTTGCTTTTGCTTCACTGGTCTGCAGCTCCACTTCACATCCATATTTACTCTACATGGTGCCTTTCACATGTTAAATGTTCTTGTTCCATTTCTTACCCCTAAACCCAGTTTTGTTCAGCTCTAGCACTGCATTTCTTTAACTGGCCACTGGTGAGTTGTTTTTAGCTGTAGGGTCTGCAGCGCCGGCTTGTGTCCCGTCGCTTATCACTCCTCTGCCGCACCCTGTGCTCCGCTTCAAGGCCTCTGCTATCGTACCAGGCCTGTAGTTTTCTCCATCGGTGTATCAGAGTTGTAAATACCTTGYTCTACACAGAGCAGCAGCTGGTTACTGCTGTCTATATGAAGCCATGGTTGTATGGTCCTTATACAAGAATAAACAATAAAGCAAATGTTAAAACRGAGTACCATGTATTCAGGGAAACTACTGTTGCAGCTAAATTAAGTAAAATGAASTTGCAGGCAGGCCCAGGAGAGCTCAGCTGGAGCAAGGGTGGCAAAGCTTCAGTGTTAAAGTTTTGCAAGCTCAATATGAAGCCTGTGTCCCATTGCTAGTAATGGCAATACCCTATTCCAGGGCTACTTGATGATGGGAGGGATAATGTGAAAGAAGAATTCACAGGTGTGTGTTTGAGAAGGGCAGGAAAACTGCTCTCTCTGTGTTTAACAGGAAAGTGTTTGAGGGGATGGGAATCAGGATGGGTCTAGAAGGCCAATGATATTTTGGAATATCTCACTACCTGCAAAGGTGCTTCCCTGTCATCTGATGGTGTCAAGACTGGTCTAGTAGTTCATTTCTTTGCCCCTGTCTGTTTCTGCAGAATGAAATAGGGGTCATATTGATGAATGTTGGTATATCAAAACAAGTATGCTAGTAAGTGAAACTGAGGAAGGATTTTGGCATGGGAGCAGGGTGTAAATATATAGGGTCAAGATAACTGCAGTAGGGAAAGAGTGGGAAGATAGAAGTGTGGCCTGTTTTCAATATATAGCACTTGCTGAACCAGTTTACCTATAAATCTGTTCCTGCTATGCAGCATTCTGCTATWATGCTCCTATGGAACCTTTTTGTTAAGTCCTGCTGTTTCTTTTTGTTGTTGTTGTGCAGGRGTTCGTGGAGAACACATTTATCCAGATGGCCAGAGTTATAGTCACTGTAGGAAAACTGTGTAGTGTGTTAAAGAGGCACCTTGAAAGGTGAAGTGTGTCCTGGGTGATAAGAGGCCCCTAGGCCATATGGAGGCAGCCTTAATAGGCTGCTTGGAATTTTTATGGTTGTGTTACATGCTCATTTTCAAATTAAACTTCAGAGCGAGCCTTGTCAGTAGAAGGAAAGAGGCAGATTTCCAGGCTTTCCCAGGGAAGTGGGAGTGTTGGGATGCGTGATGCGGCTTCTGCTGTCAGTGGCAGCTCTGCTGCAGCTCTTGGGCAGAGCTGAAGAACAGCACATGCAGCAAGGGTTCCTCATGCTGTGTGAGTTGGGTGCCGTGTTCCCTAATGGGTGGGAAGAAGGGCAGTTGTGGACTAAGCTTTGATTTCAAGCCTCAAGTTGGTGCTATGCACCGAGAAGAAGATTCTCTGTATATTCCAAATTTCTGCCTGCCTAGAATCTGCATCTTTTCCACTTTCATTAGCTTTTTAGGGATTCTTTTCCCTCTCTGTCCCCTTTTTCCAGGTTTACCTCTTTCTCCTCTTCTCAGCAGCGCTTTTTAGCTTCCAAGACTTAATCTTTAGGTGCATTCCTGTGCCCTTTAATGTTGTGAGCTGCTGCCTGGGCATACTGCTCTGATCATTCATGCATATGGCTTTAGGAGTTGCACATGCCAACTGTGATTCTGCAGCCAAGAGTGAACGCTGCTGCTAAAATAAGACTAACAGCGCTGTTGCTGATGCTATATATTGCTTCCTCTTCTGCAAGTTAAACTGCTGGTGCTGTCTACTAAATGTTTCTATTTCTGCCTTTCTTTTTCGTGTGCTATATAAAATCTTAATATTGCCTTGGGCAGTACTGTGAAGGCCAGTGTTTTCTAGAAAGCCTACAAATAACCTGTAGTTTCAAAATGTTCTGTACTCCAGAAAATAAATGATAACTATTGTTGTCTGCTTCTCAAAAATATTTCCAAGAGCAAAGCTTTCTGTAGTTCCAACAAAGAGAATGGCTGATAAATTCTTGCAATCCCTGCTTTGCAAGTCTCGTCTGGAAGGAGCCTGGATTTTATACCAGAAGATGAAATACCAAAATGCAATATGAATGT